AAAAAAAAAAAGAAGATATGGTATATATTTACAATGGAATATTATTTAGCTATAAAAAAGAATGGAATCTTGCCATTTGCAATGATGTGGATGGAGCTAGAGAATATTATCCTGAGCAAAATAAGTCAGTCAAAGAAAGACAAATACCATATGATTTCACTTATATGTGGAACTACAGAAACAAAACAGATGAGCATAGAAAAGATAGAGAGGGGCAAACAAAGAAACAGATCCTTAACGATGGTTACCAGATGGGAGGTGGATGGGGGAATAGGTTAAATAGGTGATGGGGATTAAGGAGTTCACTTGTGAGGATCATGGGGTATGGAATGTATTAAAAAATTTTAAATAAATAAATACATAAATATGATCTAAAAGTCAAATAACTATGAATTGTTAAATAAATTATGATACATGATACAATGAAATGTTTTTTATAAAAAACATTTTAAAAAGTCAGTCTTAAAGACTATTTGTGCCTCAAGGATATGCTCATAGTATAAAGACAGGTAGAAAAAAAAAAAGCAGAATATAAAAGTATATATTCAACATGAGTCTCACTCTTGCAAAACAAAGGAATGCATATATAAATATGCATACAAAAAATAATTATCCTAAAAGGAGATATACCAAAAGATTGAAATGTGGTTACCTTTAAATATGGTAAATGTTATTTCCTTTTTCAATTTTTGTTACTTACATTTTATCTAATGGAATTAATGTGTAACTTCTTTAATATGGAAAATTATTTGAAAAAAAATTTTATGATGATGACCAAAATTATTGATATAAGGCAATTTTGAAAAGTGTGTATGTATTTCTAGAAATTAATACAAGGTGTCTTTGAGTGTGCTTCCAAGAGACAATAGGAGACAGTGGAAAGAAACTAATCTTAAATGACTGCTACTTAAGAAGAACTAAGATCTAACATCTCTTAATAAATTAGTAGGGTAAAGAACATTAAGGGGAAGAACTTTTATAAAATTAACACCTATGTTCTATTTGTTCTACAAATTCATTAACAAGCATTTCTAGTTAATTATCTTTCACCAGGGGCACCTGGATGGCTCAGTCAGAGGACTTTGGCTCAGGTCATGGTCTCAAGGTTTGTAATTTTGAGCCCTGCATCCGGCTTCGTGCTGACAGTGCAGAGCCTGCTTGGGATTCTCCCTCTCTCTCTCTGCCACTCTCTACTTGCACATGCTTGCATGCTCTCTCTCTCTCAAAATAAATAAAACTTAAAAAATTTTTTTAAATTATCTTTCACCATTGTTTTTAATAAGAAAGAAAAAATATTTTAAAAACAAAAAGTGTGAAACAAGAACATAAATACCTTATGAGCCAAGTGGAAGAGGAGGCGATTTTGAAGTCGGCTTTTTGGAGCTAGAAAAAAAAGTTCAAGCTACTTATTAATTGTCAATGGCACTTAGTCCCCTGCAAGAATAACATGAGACAGGGGCGCCTGGGTGGCTCAGTCGGTTAAGTGTCCAACTTCAGCTCAGGTCATGATCTCACGGTTCGAGCCTCACAGCGGGCTCTGTGCTGACAACTCGGAGCCTGGAACCTGCATCAGATTCTGTGTCTCCCTCTCTCTCTGCCCCTTCCCTGCTCACACTCTGTCTCTCTGCCTCAAAAATAAACGTTAAAAAATTAAAACAAAAAAACAAACCATGAGACAAAGATAAAACTTCCCAAATCCTACACACGTGATCATGATATGTCTCTACTATGATATATATTATTTTAGCCTGTTCTCTACTTACAGTAGCAGGAACGGCATCAAGAACCGGGAAAACAACATTGTAAGGTTCTATTATTCCCCAGCACTTGTTCTACTGGATTCTATGATGGTGACCCACAGCACAGCACACACAATTCTGGTAGCAGCCACTGCCGTGTTGTCCACACACTAATCAAACACTGGAAACAAACAGCTATGTTTATCTCATGTCATGTAGGAATCCACTCTCATTCAGTTGTGCTTCCCAGTATTCGTTGTCAAGTCCTTCTGAAATCTCTTTTTCCACAATTATACAGCCATAGTTTCTTAAATACTAGCTCGATCTCTACTCCATAGATCTAGCATGATAATCTGCCACCCTGAAACAGCCAACCAAGAGAAAACGTTAACACTTTTTGAGTTCCAAATCTCCTCTGCACTGTTGGAGAATTTTCCTAATCCTAGATACCTAACCCCGTATCTCTTTACAGGAAAAAAAATGATACTTCAATGTATTAAAAAAAAAATTTAGGGGCGCCTGGGTGGCTCGGTCGGTTAAGTGTCCGACTTCGGCTCAGGTCACGATCTCGCGGTCCATGAGTTCGAGCCCTGCGTCGGGCTCTGTGCTGACAGCTCAGAGCCCAGAGCCTGTTTCAGATTCTGTGTCTCCCTCTCTCTATGCCCCTCCCCTGTTCATGCTCTGTCTCTCTCTGTCTCAAAATAAATAAACGTTAAAAAAAAAAATTTATACAGAAAGAAGGATAGCTACCTTGATCACTTTCTATGTGTCTAATACTGTTCTCACAGATAAAATCTAGAAACATGAGATAAAATAAGTGACTTAAAGACCCTATAACAAAATTAAGAAAAACTACATTAGTACATGGGAAACAGTTTGGGTACAAATCAAGAAAGGCTTCGAGTTCCACAGTGTCCATGAATTTGAGCTGGAATTGCTCCTAAATATGTATATATCAGTTAATTCTCTAAGAATTCTACCCTGGGAATTTGTTATTCTTCCCTAACAAATTTCATAACAAATGTTCCTTTCCCCCCTTTCTCTACATTTTTTTGAATTTAATTTGATTCAGGGCACCTGGGTGGCTCAGTTGGTTGAGCATCTGACTTCCGCTCAGGTCATGATCTCACGGTTCATGAGTTCGAGCCCCACATCAGGCTCTCTGCTATCAGCGCAGAGCCTGCTTCAGATCCTCTGTCCTCCCCGCTCTCTGCCCCTTCCCTGCTCACGCTCTCTTTCTCAAACATAAAATAATAAAACACTGAATTTAATTTGATTCATACTGTCATTATTCTTCATCTTTCCACCCCTGGTTCTCTTTACCCAATTCTTATTTGCAAGTTGATGCCCAGTTCTTCTTAGACGGCTGTCAGGACAGGTGAAGCAAATGAAAATAAGTCTGGATTCTTTAAGCAGAAATTACTTGGCTTCTCATTGAGAAACAGGGAAAATAGCTATAAAATCCACATCCATAAGGGCTTAAACAACTACACCAATTCCTACAATAACATGAACATCCTACCATAGTGGGGCTTAAGAAAGATAACTTGCTCTTTGCTTCTCTCATCCTTTTTTTTCAGCCTCTGGGGAGGTGGGGGAGAGGAAGCACCATGGAGATTAACTCTCTCTTTAAAAGTAAAATTGCTAAGGTTCAATATTCTTTGAAGAATAAAGCTATTTTTTAGTTTTCTTTTTCTTAATTATTATTTATTTTTTGATTGTAGTTAGTTTTTAGTTTTATCATGGTACTTGCTTTTTCCTCAGTGAAAAATGAATTGGGGCTCGTGGGTGGCCCGATCCATTAAGCATCTGACTCTTGATTTCTGCTCAGGTCATGGTCTCACGGTTCATGAGTTTGAGCCCCGTGTTTGCCTCTGTGCTGATAGTGCGGAGCCTGCTTGGGATTCTCTCTTTCCCTCTCTCTCTACCCCTCCCCCGCTCACAAGCACATGCTCTCTCTCTCAAAATAAATAAACTTAAAAAAAAAAAAAAAAGAAAAAGGAATTAAATAAGTTTTAAAATCTCCAAAATAACTCTTTCCATTAGTGATGAATACTAGATATTAAAAGGGGCCAATTTACCTTTAAATCCAGCTGCTTCAGCTTGTTTATACATTCCAAGAAAAAAGTAGGTACAGGCTAGGTTCACCCAGACTTCAGGATTGCAGTTTTCCTCTTTTGTTGCACTTTCATATTCCTGAAATATACATTAAGCAGGGATCTCATTTCAGCCGTAAAGCAATCGATGAGCCATTCTTCTATAATGGAATAGGATTTCTTACTGAGACTGGGCAACTTCACATTTAGGGAATCCTATATGCTCCTCAACTGTTCTGTACCTTCAAGGTTACATACTGAAGCTATAGATCAATCCTCCCCACGTGGGCTGTTGTGCACACAATCTTAAACTGGTTTTTCCCCCCTTTTCACGCTGATCCATGAGCTAACAAACCGCAAAATTTAAAGTAACTAAAATATTTTATTTTTGCTAACTTAAAAAAAAATGGGTACATGGGTGGCTCAGTTGGTTAAGGGTCCAACTCTTGATTTCAGCTCAGGACATGAGCCCATGGTTCGTGAGTTCGAGCCCTGAGTTGGGCTCTGCGCTGAGAGGGTGGAGCCTGCTTGGGATTCTCTGTTTCCCCCTCTCTCTCCACTCCTCCCTCTCTCTCTTTCTTTCTCTCTCAAAATAAATAAATAAACTTTAAACATAAAAGCTACCTTATAAGAAATATATAGGTTTGGTTAACTTAAAATCTGATAATATACTATAAATATTGTTTCGTTCTAATTGTTTTCTGGGTTAGTTTATTTGCCTTTACATTCTATTTCTGTTAAGAGTTTATTTTATTATTATATTTTTAAGTAGACTCCCCGCCCAACACGGGGCTCAAACTCACAACCCTGAGATCCAAGAGTCCTATGCTCTACTGACTGAGCCAGCCAGGTGGCCCCATTTGGCTTTACATTTTATTTTATTTTTTTGACATTTATTTATTGATTTTGAGAGAGAGAGAGAGAGAGCATGCACACATGCAAGCTCAAACAGGGGAGGAACAGAGAGAGAGAGAGAATCTAAAGCAGGCTCTGAGCTGTCAGCTCAGGGCAGAGCCTGACACAGGGCTTGATCTCACAAGCCTGACATCATGACCTGAGCTGAAATCAAGAGTCAGATGCTTAATCGACTGAGGCACCCAGGTGCCCCCTGGCTTTATATTTGAAAAAGGTATTTTTTTCCTGCCAAGTACACCTTCTGAGATTTACGTTGTCAACCACATTTTCCATATACCCTATTTACCAGTCTTTACCAGATTCCTTTGTTTCTTTTTCTTACTACATATGGGCTACTCTCTTCTCCCTATACCTTTCAAAAATACCATCAGCCTCTATTGTCATTTACATATCTTCCCTTTGCCCTAATTGATTTTGTTGTTGTTGCTGTTTTTAATGTTTATTTTTGAGAGAGACAGACAGATTGCGAGTGGAGGAGGGGCAGAGAGAGAGGGAGACACAGAATATGAAGCAGGCTCCAGGCTCTGAGCTGTGTCAGCACTGAGCCTGATATGAGGCTCAAATTCACAAACTGTGAGATCATGACCTGAGCCGAAGTAAGACACTTAACCAACGGAGCCACCCAAGCACCCCAGTTTTTGTTGTTTTAAAGTTTATTTATTTATTTTGAGAGAGAGAGCATGTGCGAGCAGGGGAGGGACAGAGAGAGAGGGAAGCAGAATACCAAGCAGGCTCCGTGCTGTCAATGCAGAGCCTGATGTGGGGCTTGAACTCATGAACCGTGACATCATGACCTGAGCCAAAATCGAGTCCTCTGCTCAACTGAATGAGCCACCCAGGCACCCCTGTTGTTTTTGTTCATCATCTTACCTCATTACCTGACCTTGGACACTTTCATTCTGGTTATGCAGGTTTTAAATTTTTTTTTTTTTTCAACGTTTATTTATTTTTGGGACAGAGAGAGACAGAGCATGAACGGCGGAGGGGCAGAGAGAGAGGGAGACACAGAATCGGAAACAGGCTCCAGGCTCTGAGCCATCAGCCCAGAGCCTGACGCGGGGCTCGAACTCACGGACCGCGAGATCGTGACCTGGCTGAAGTCGGACGCTTAACCGACTGCACCACCCAGGCGCCCCCCTCACTTAGTATTTCTTAAGGAAAGCTTCAGGAGAAGAAAAACCCCTTTGGATAAAATTTCCAAGATGCCTTTCTCAAAAGTTCATTTTTATTTTTCTTGGTTCATTTTAGATAGGAAAGATTACATTATCTTTATATTTCTGCAAGTGCAGTTTTAAAAGTTGTTTTTCTTTGTCATTGTAAACAGTACCTATCTAAAATTTTTTTTTTAACGTTTACCTATCTAAAATTTTTTTTTTAACGTTTATTTATTTTTGAGACAGAGAGAGACAGAGCATGAATGGGGGAGGGTCAGAGAGAGGGAGACACAGAATCCGAAACAGGCTCCAGGCTCTGAGCTGTCAGCACAGAGCCTGACGTGGGGCTCGAACTCACAGACCGCGAGATCATGACCTGAGCCGAAGTCGGCGGCTTAACCGACTGAGCCACCCAGGCGCCCCTAAACAGTACCTATCTAATGAGCAATCTATAGGATTATGAATCTAGATAAAATTTTAGATGCCATTAGTCAAACAGTTTTTAAATCATAAATGAAATTGTTTAAATACTTACCACATATTCTTACCCCCAAAATGTAATCTAAGGTTATTTTAAAACCTGCATAACCAGGGGCGCCTGGGTGGCGCAGTCGGTTAAGCGTCCGACTTCAGCCAGGTCACGATCTCGCCATCCGTGAGTTCGAGCCCCGCATCAGGCTCTGGGCTGATGGCTCAGAGCCTGGAGCCTGTTTCCGATTCTGTGTCTCCCTCTCTCTCTGCCCCTCCCCCGTTCATGCTCTGTCTCTCTCTGTCCCAAAAATAAATAAAAAAACGTTGAAAAAAAAAATTAAAAAAAAAAAAAGAAATACAAAGTGAGATTTGAAGAATCTCACTAGTATATATGCAAAAGCAAAGAGTAAACAAGATATATATATGTGTATATATATATGTATATAAGTATATACACTTGAACACATATAAAAGATTTATGAAGCAATACATCAAACAAGAGCCAATTGTTGCCTCTGTTAACAAAGAAATAGAATTGGGAAAGGGAGATAGGATGACTTTTTTCTTTTTATCTTGTTCCCTTCTGTATTGTTTGGATTTTACTAAGAGCATGAATTATTATAATATAGAGCTTAATAACTTTTTCAAAACCCTTCTGTTACAATTTTTAAAAATTGTTTTAAGTTTTATTTATTTATTTTGAGAGAGAGAGAGAGAGACAGCAGGAGCCGGAGAGGGGCAGAGAGAGGGAGACAGAGAGAATCTGCACTGACAGTGCAGAGCCTGATATGGGGCTTGAACTCAACCAACCGTGAGATCATGACCTGAGCTGAAATCAGGAGTCCATGCCCAACTGACTGAGCCACCCAGGTGCTCCATACCTTTTTTTTTTTTTTTTTTTTTTTTTACTAACCTCCAAAGCTCTCTTGTAGTCACCCAGGTGAAAAGCACAGTATCCAATCCACAAATTAGTGTCCTCTTCTTGTTCCCCAACATGCCGTTTGAACTTCAGGTTAAAATTTCATTTAAAAAAAAAACAGAAAAACAGAACAAACAAACAAACAAGAAACATGAAAAGCTTTGAATAAACCCTCTGTTTAAAAAAACTGCTATGTTAAGCTACGGATGAACAATAGGAAATTGAAAGTAACAGAAGCAAGACAATAACATTTAATTAAGTCTATATACCTAAGGAACTCAGCACAATTACCTTCTAATCGTCACAGAGAATGTATCTGTATATTTCTTAAATGCTGCAATAACTATCAGAATCTAAATTTTATTTATTTCGTGAGGCATCATCAAAAGGCTGGAACAATTATTGTTACATAGCAAATGAAACAGGCTATACTGAAACAACATATATAGCCACATGATCTTCCCAATTCTTTTCAAGGTTAGGAATTAAAAGAATTTTAATGTTTGACTTCTATATTATCCAAGAAAACTATAACACAGATAGATTATTTCTTAGATATTCACAAGATGAAAATTTCTCGTTCACTTAATATTTCCAGTTGAAAGAAATGCATAATTTCAAATATTTCACGTTCATTTTTCTTTTTCTTTTTTTTAAAATGTTTGTTTGTTTGTTTGTTTATTTATTTATTTATTTATTTATTTATTTATTTATTTTGGGGAGCGAGAGAGAGAGCACATGCAAGGGAAGGGCAGAGAGAGAGGGAGACAGAGAATCCCAAGCAGAATCCCAATATGTCTGGGACATATTAAGGAACACAAGAATTACGTGAAGTATCTAACGCCAAATAACTGAAAGTTAGAGATTAAGCAGTGAACTCAAGGCTACCAGAGAAAGAGAAGGTAGTAGCAGGGACTGTCACAGCCCACTGACTCCAACACCTGTGTTCTCACCCTCCATGCTCTATGCATTCAAACTCACACTTCAAGCCTATCCCATTAGTGAACACATATATCTTTGATAGGTTATGACCTTCTGCTGACAGCGAATCAGTAAATCATTCTGTAACCCTTGAACAGGTTTACCACGACCTGTGAGAATTAAGGATATTCAGAAGCCTGGCCTCATTTTTGTCCATTGGGAGAAAATATATGTGAATTCCCCAGGCAACAAAAGTCCCATTTTCGAGGAAATGAATGAGGCTTTTGAAAGAGGAATCTGAACTCCCATGGTTAGGTGAGAGTTTTCCATTCTACAGGCTGATAAACCAAAAACATGGATAAAAAAACTAAATAGGGAGCCGACACATATCTGTAGATCATTGCTACAGAATATTGGGTGCCTTGACTGTGACAAGATGGAGACATCCAATGATACTTTCTGGTCTGGGTAAGAACTTACTCCTGTAGTTAATTCTATACATTAGAAATCTTCTTTTCGCAAAATGCTGTGGATTTGAGTACAGTGCCTTAAGTCTGAAGACATTCTTATTTGAAGTCTTCCTGAATTTGCACCTAAGAATGTAAGCACAGAGCAGAGTCTCCCTGACAACCTGAAAGTAGTACAAGATTACACAGTAAGGGAAATGTGGTTGTTGTCTAAAAAGAGAGAAGAGAAATAGAGACTGACAAAAATTAGACATATACCTACCACTTAGTCCACTGACTTACAGAGCTAGAAGGTCCTTCCAAGTCAACTTCCCCACTTTAATGATGAGAAAGCTGACACCAAAAAAGTCAAACAAGATGCTCAATATCAGAGCTAGTAAGAAACATAGAAGCACACGTGGAAGATTGAGAAATACATAAAGGTCACTAAAACAATCATTGTTGATAGATTATAAGTAAGATAGCTGGAGTAGTAATTCGGAGAAATGACTGGCAAAACACAACTGGGCTATGCCGTCAAAACTCTTCAACTCTTCACTGTTTGGTGTGCTCCTTCATTCTCCTATAACATGTGATTCCCACAAAGCAGTTTCTCCAGGTGTAGTGTCCTTGGATCATCTATGTCAGAAGCACTTGGGCTACGTGACAAAAATGCAGGTCCTGAACAGCACCATATTGTAAAGAATCAGAATCCCTGGGGTGCCTGGGTGGCTTAATCGGTTAAGCATCCGACTCTTGATTCAGCTCATGACCTCACAGTTCATAAGATGGAGCCCCACGATGGGCTCTGTGCGGAGCATGGAGCCTGCATGGGATTCTCTCTCTCCCCCCCCCCTCTCTCTCTGCTCCTCCTCTGCTCTCTCTCAAAAATAAGTAAATAAACATTAAAAAAAAAAAGAAAGAATCATAACCCCTAAGGCAGGAGTAGAGGAATGTATGTTTCAATAAGTACCCTAAGTGATTCTGATGCGTATTAGAAGTTGAGAAGTACTGCCATAAAGATTTGAAATATTTTCTGAAGATATGGTATTCTAGGCAACAAGCATGAAGCATTCATGCTTCATTTGAATAATGAACTCAAATGAATTCATTTGAATAATGATTCAAATTTTATAAGAGATAAGAGGAATAAATCATAAATTGGTCAGGGGTTGGGATAAACAATGTGTGAACTGATGCTGTATCCAATGTCCCTCCAGAGTTTTAGCTGAATTCACCATCAGTGGGACTAGACATAATTAAAAGCGTCCCTCAAGAAGTAAGCCGATCTTGTTAGTTCATCTTTAATCAGGTTTATCGTTAACACGGAATCTGGAACCTGTGCCAGACTCGGTTTATAGGAAGCCCTCCCTCCCAAAACATCCACCTGTTCCAACAGCACAAGGTTGGAACGAAACCAGCGTTCACCCAAGCATTCATCCATATTCTGGTATTCGCCTCCTAAGAAGCAATCTTCTTAGGACATTACCTCCAATAGGGTAATAGCTCCAGTGAAATCTCTTTGTGAAAGTAGCTCCTCTAGTTTTGGAATCTTCCTACCTTTCTTCTTTCTCTTGTCATTGTGCGGTAGGTCCCCGCCTACAGCAGGCTTGGCCCTTGAAAGCATCTGTGAAAGAAGCAACAAAGACAGCTGTATGATCCAATTCCGATGGTCAGATTTAAACTCAGAGTAACAGCTCCGGGATTTGCATGTCAAGTCCTTAACAACCAACCCCAGGGAAGCCCATTCAAACTCTTTGTAACAACTATTTTACTAAAAGGGCCATCACCCTGTACTTGGGCTGAACCCAACAGCTACTACATGTTATCTTCTTTATCAATTCATTAGAGCGGGGTAGGAGATGCTTTGGAGCAGCTTCTCTCATCTCAGTCTTCCCTTGGTCTGCTTTCCATCCCACGCGCAGCCTAGACGTGCAGTGGAGAAGCGGGAGGGAAGAAAGCATCGAGGTGTTTACAGTCGCATCCGTCTCCCGTGAGAACGTGGGTAGGGCAGGGAGATCATCCACCGCTGACACTCCTAGACTTAACCCAGAAGTGTGTTAGGAACCTCCGATCTCCAGGTCTAGGATCCACTCAAAGTTCTCCTCCCTCATTGTTCAGAGCCACTAACCATCTTGGGAGTTGGTTCGGTGAGCCTCTTCCCCAGACGGACAGAAAAGGCCCAGCCTTAGCGCCTCTCTGCATCCACACCGCTGGCTCCGTCTCCACGGCAACCCCGCGGGGGGTGGGGTCTGGTTCGCCGCGCAGAAAAGCTCCCAGGGGAACCCGTGCCCTCCGCCTTTTGGTTCCGCTCCCCGCTGCCGCTGCGAGAGGAGAAGTTCTCCCCTCAGGAGGAGAGGCAGGGTTTGCTGTGCTGGGAGTGAACGTTTGTATCTCTACTTAGGGCTTGATTTTAAGAACAGGCGGATTAGAATGGTATTCTTTTTCCAATATAAGTTTCCTGGGAAAGTCATTTTCAAGGACCACTTCCGATTTGGACCGTGTTGGGTTCCATAGCAACCCCCGGCGCTGACTGGCACGTGATCTGCGGCCTCCGGTCTCCGGGAAGCTTCGAAAAAAATCGCTGAACCGAGGAAGTTGGCATTTACAGGCGGGAGTTCACCAAAATAGTTTATTATTTACATAGATAAACATAATCCGTAACTGTAATAAATGTATGTTGGTTGGACGACTTAATTTATCTACTTTACTCCTGACCCGAATTAATCTGGCTGCATGCGTCGGATGAAATCCCCGCATTGTGGAATTTAGAGCTGGAAGCAATCTTAAAGGACATCCAGTGCAACCTTCGTAACCAAACCAGACATTTCGTCCGCTCGATGGGCGGCAAGCCAATAACAACCGACAGGGAGCTTCCGCAGTCGAAGAAAAGCTATTTATTGCTGTGGCGCCACCCAGAAGCGGGAGCGAATGCTCAAAAGTCCCAAACTCCACCGTGCTTTACAAGCAGGGTTTTAAAAGGGTGAAAATTCAGGGTAAGGATCCCAGGGCCTTGGATCATGCTGATTCATTAGGGATTAGGTCATCTATGACATTTCCTTTCTTGATCATCTTATCCCTTCTGGCGTCTCCGTCTGGTTTCGGTGCGATGGTAGTGAGGTGGTCGTTCAACTTCAGGGGCCTGGTCGTTCTGCTTTTAGGGGCCTGGAACTGCAAAACGCTCCGGGCAGATTGCACTGGTGAGGTCATCTCTAGAGTACAAAGGCAAAAGTTCTACATTCTGTAACTATCGCTAAGCTAAAAAAAAAAAAAAAAAAAAAAAATTCCCTTGGGAACATGACACACTGTGTTTGTTATCTCAGGCAGAACAGCATCCCACAGACTTGGGGCGGCAACTTTCTATTATTTCCTGAGGCATTTTTACAGGTTTCTTTTACAGTAACTAAGGACTACGGACTCTGGTCAGAGGCAGCTGGGAACAGTATGTCTAAACTGTGGGGTTTGTGAGGGCTTGCATCCCCAGTTTCGTACTGAGAATTAGCCAACTAAGAAACTAACATCTGGAGTATTCCCAAGTGTGTAGATAGTTGTGGCATAGTTGAATTACATTACATACAACTGTAGATAACCAGCCCTGTAGAGACTCATGTATACCATAAGATCATAGAGGCAGGTATGGTTTCCTAGATTCTTTTGCATCCTGCTCATGTTCCAGCCCCCGCCTCCCACCACCTGTTACTTGGAGAATAAGTAAATGACCACATACCCTAATTCACGGATACATACACTTTTATGTACACACAAGTATCCTTATATTCAGACACAGGAACATAGACTTAAGAAATGCAAAAATTCACCACCACTATACTTGTAATTCTTTTGGTTCCAAATATTAGAAATATTTCTACTTTTGGTTGAGTTTAAAACAATCATTTTCAGGGGTGCCTGGGTGGCTCAGTCGGTTAAGCATCCAACTTCAGCTCAGGTCATGATCTCACAGTCCCTGAGTTTGAGCCCCGTGTCGGGCTCTGTGCTGACTGCTTAGAGCCTGGAGCCTGCTTCGGATTCTGTGTCTCCCTCTCTCTCTGCCCCTCCCCTGCTCACGCTCTGTCTCAAAAACATTAAAAAGGAACCAATTATTTTCAGCTCTTCTTTACAGAAGTCTGCATACTTTTGTAATTGTCTTGTAGCAGGATTCTTGCACAGAGAGTCGTGACATCAGGCTTTTCTTTCCAGGAAGCAACTTTATTCCTGCTGGCACAACTTCGTTGAGTTCATACCCAAAGAAGTGAGCCCCGAACACCACGTGGCTTGGTTTTTTATATATTTTTTACTTTTTGTTTCCCATATATGGTAACACACAAACATGCAGTCTGATTAAGTGGTTTCATGTTACAAGGTCGTGAGGGATGTCACGTATGCGTATATCCAGTTTGCCTTGAGTTTTTTCTTTCTTTTTTTTTTTTTTTTTTTTTTTTTTTTTTTTTTTTAGGGAGGGGCCCCTACCACAGTCTTATTGCAAGAGCATCCAAATATTAAACTCATCCTTTTATTTATTATTTAATTTTTTTTTAATTTTAGAGAGAGCAAGCAGCACAGGGGAGCATAGAGAATTTTTAACAGATTCCACTTTTCAGCACAGAACCCAACATGGGGTTCGATCCCATGACCCATGACCTGAGCTGAAATCAAGAGTTGGATGCTCAACTGACTGAGCCACCCACGTGCTCCTAAATTCATACTTTTAAAAAATGTTTGAGACAGAGAGAGACAGAGCATGAGCAGAGGAGGGGCAGAGAGAGAGGGAGACACAGAATCCGAAGCAGGCTCCAGGCTCGGAGCTGTCAGCACAGAGCCCGACGCGGGGCTCCCACTCAGGAACTGTGAGATCATGACCTGGGCAGAAGTCGGAGGCTGAACCGACTGAGCCACCCAGGCGCCCCTGTTCACTGACTTTTAGTACAAGTATCCCCTGCTTTTCAAAAGTTCATGTTTTGCCACTTCACTTTTATGAAAACCCTACATTGGTACCTGTTTTTGCTAACCAAAAGAAATCTGACGAGGGTTTTCACTTTTATAAAGAAAAGCAAAAAAGAGCGTGCCACATTTGTTCCACAACAAGCAGGGCAGCATGCACCAGTGCAGCAAAAGTGGCACCACCCAGGTCCTTTACCCAGAACCACGCTCGGCATCTCAGCATCAAGCCACCTGAGCTTCGAATTGTGTCTGTGATCATCTGTGCTTTATCTCAATTTATTTTGTGCTTCTGTTAGCAAGATGTGTCCTAAGGGATCAGAAAAGCTTCAGAGAGGTGATTATTTGGATCTGGGAGCACTCAAAAGTTTTCCTGCACAAATTAACAGTAGGGGGCGCCTGGCTGGCTCAGTCAGAAGAGCATGCCTGCGACTCTTGACCTCAGGGTCGTGAGTTCAAGCCCCACGTGGGGTGTGGAGATTACTGAAATAAATAAAACTTTAACAAATAATTAATTAACAGTAATTGCTTCTTTGCTTTAAGATGTTTTAGCTTCGGAAAAGTTTCATAGGAACACTCTACGTTCAGATAGCAGGGGAAAGCTGTATTCACAGAATTGTGCATCTATTACCATTATCAAATTCCAGAATGCTTTCATCATCCCCAAAAGGAACCCCATATCCGTCAGCAGTCATTCATCATTCCCCTCCTCACCTTAGCCTCTGGCAAGCACTAATATATATATATATATATATATATATATATTTTAACTTTTATTTAAAACATTAAATAAGAGGGGGGAGGGCAAAGAGAGGTGGGGACAGAGGATCTGAAGCAGGCTCTGTGCTGACAGCAAATGTGGGGCTCGAACTCTTGAATCACGAGGTCATGGCCTGAGCGGAAGTCGGAACCTCAAAACAACTGAGCCACCCAGGCGCCCCATTCTATGTTCTGTCTCTACGGATTAACCTATTCTGGACATTTCATGTAAATGAAATTGTGCAAATAGAGCTCCACACACCATATTTCTAAATATTGAAAAATCTTAAATCAATTTAGCAAACTGTTAGCTAAAATGTTTTATCCTCCTATCTTGACAAATATAGAAGGAAGTCAGATTCCAATTTAGAATTCTCAGACTTCCCAGAATTCTGTTGCCGGAGGGGGCAGTGTAGAGAGAGCCAGCCCCGGGTGCCAGCCCATTACCTTCTCCATCCTACGCCGAGGGGGCTTTGTGCATGTGTGTGGACACCCAGCCCACCAATGCAAACAGTAGTCACCCGCTTTCCTGACAGCTGTCACTCCCTAACAGACCTAAAGGCAGGATATGGAGACAAGTTTGGGGTTGTCTGGGCAGGGAATTCAGAGTCCTGGGCACCACAGCAGGGTGAGGATGGCTGCAAGGAGTCTGAAGAGGGCTCCAGAGCGCCTGGGTAGCTCTGTCAGTTAAGCGTCCGATTCTTCACTTTGACTCTGGTCATGATCTCCCAGTTCGTAGTTTCGAGCCCTACATGGGGCTCTGTGCTGGCGGTGTGGAGCCTGCTTGGGATTCTCTCCGCCCCTGCCCTGCTCACATGCTCTGTTTCTCTCTCAAAAAAAATAAATAAATAAACTTTTAGAAAAATAAATAAATAAACTTAAAAAACAAAACAAGCTTTGGCTCCACGGCCTCCTCACACCTGGTGCAGTCAG